ACTTATCTTGGAATACCAGGTCAGTAATCCACCAGTACTACTAAGTTTTGAGTACTCTAACTTTGTACTTGAAGGAGCCATGGTGATAAAATAATTAAGTGCTCCACTGCTGGCTAAAACCTACCCAGTGGATTCATGAGACCACCTGGCAATTCCAACCAAGGAAAGCCTATGGAACACAGTTCTTGAAGTCATAGAATTGCCTCAAGGATCTTTACTATTAACACCATTTTAAAAGGTGAAAAATATTAGTCCTAATTTCCTCAAGGTTATAGTTTTCTTTCCTACTGTTCTGATAGTTCTTCAAATATAGCTTAAATAAAAATTATACAAATTTTAAATCTTTGATACTTGCTAATTGTAGATGATCTAACTAGTTGATTGTATAACCTGATCCATCCTCCCCACCCCCATCATCCAATTAGCTTGATGCAGTAGGATTCTGTGGGAGTTAAGGCCACACAAAGATCCCTGGTTGCATCTGTGTTGACCTGCACTGTCTTATGTATGCCACCTCACAAAAAAATGGCAATTAAGTACTTAAAACGGAAAACCACCTAACTCTAACCACAGTCCCCATGAATACAAGGTGGTGTAAAAAATTCATCAACAGGTGGGATTAAAAAGATAGTGAATTCCTCTTTTTAAAAGCCCCTTGTACAATAGTACAAATCATAAACCATGTTTCTGTGTGGTACAATTTTGCATCCCTTTTGTCCAGATCCAAATAATAACAAACCTAAATAAGTTTTCCAAGAACAGCAAGTGGATTTCAATTACTGACCTTTCAATTGGCAGGTGTTCAATGCTTATTCTACAGCACCACATAAGGGCCCAAGTAGATTGTGTAATACATACTAAATTTTTTAAGTATGTATTTTAACCGAACTTAACAGAAGTTTAACAGAAAAAAACCTAACGTGAGATGGTTTAAGAAATATAAACTACCAGGAAGTATTTTGAAAATAGTATGAAGCATTTAAACAGAACTCTCTTTTCCAACAAAGACTTGCCTGGCAATGAAAAATAGATAACTTGTACCTCACATTTTCTTTAAATTGAAGAGTTCAATTAAGGGAGTAGTAAAAGTTGTCAAGTATGTACAAAATAATATCCACAAATTCTAAGTTTTGGTGAATATTCAAAATTTCTAACAAAATAAGAACTTATATACATTTCAATGGTACTGAAATTAATAGTTCAAACACATATAGCCAGATGAAAGACATCAGTAATAATAGAAGATAATTAATAAGTAAATTGGCAAAACAAAACAAATTGGCTGAGAGATCCAACTGAATTATCAAAAAAGAATGATTTCAGAGTATAAATGAGAAAACTGGCTGTATAAACGATAAAAGCTAAGGATATTTGACAGATACTAATTTTTAATATGTAGTCAGATCAATTTGGGAAAAAGGCATTTTTTTCTTAAAGTAATTTTTAAAAAGATACTCGAACTACAGGTGATAATACTCAAACATGTTTTTCTTTCAGTAAATTGCTCAGTTTTCTATTTTCCTAAATATGTAATGTTAAGTCCTAGTACGTTAACTGTAGGATAAGCACTGGGTCTGCAATTCTAACTCACCAGCCGATCCTCAAAATTAACAGCACTTAAAGGTAAGTAAGGTGCTAGGCTATAGACACCTGAATATCAGTTCTAAAAGACAAAACAAAAACAATGTAGCCTAATGTCTGTGATTATGTGAAAAACAAAGCCATTTTCTGAAAAAGTGTTATTTGCAAAGTTGAGGGTACAAGAACTACTTGGGGCAACATACTTCCAGATTTAGACTAGTCACAACATGAACATTTGTTTTCCCAAAGAGTCAAGAACTGATTACTCCAAGTCAGGAAAACAAATATTCTAAAGTTTCTATGACTTTAAAACATTTGAAAAATGAGGATTTCTTATGGCCTTTTAAAGAGAATTTTATTTGAGTGGTTCTTACAAAGATTGTTGCAATATGAAAGTCATTGTTTTGATAGAAATATCAAGCTGTCTTGTCAAACACACTGAAGTAACCCAAAAATATATTTCAGAGCTCACAGAGCTTAAAAAGAGCAAAGATTATATGCAACCAGACAAAACCTATTACTGCATTTCCTATTTCCTGCTCAGACTGCTTTGCTTACCAGACTATCACTGAACATTTCAGGAAATGCAGGGATCATTTTGTTTGGAATCTTAAGACACACCATAACACATAGTATTTACAAAAAAAAAAAAAAACTTTTACAGATACATTAATTGAAAAGTTACCATCAAGAAATGATTTTGAAATCTCCCTTTCTTGCCAATTGATCAGAATGCAAGATGAGATGTTAAACAGCCCTTTAGCTGTCTTGGAATTTTCACACACTAGATATATATTCCAGAAACCTTATCTGCTAAGCCATTAGCTAAATATCAACATTAGTGAAATGTAACTGCTGTGTAAAAAGATAGGCTTCTGAAACATTAAAAACATCATTACATCCCTGTCTGCCTTTTTATAGAAAGCACATTTGTTCCCCTAGAGCTACTCCTATATTTTTATGTAATTTTTTGTAAATATACATTTAAAAGGCAGAACAAGAAAACAGCTTTGTATACATTGGAATTTACTAATTAGGGAGAATGAGCACACTGTATTCCTGTTAACATTTTTATTTTTTCAAGGTAACAGGAATTGTATACAAATGACAGTAGACCCTTGCCTCTTTATTTGTATCTAAATAAAAGATAACTCAAGATGAATTCTCAAGAAAGAAAAAAAGCTATGTACATAAGGGACTATTTTCCTTCATCGTCTACTTGGAACCAGTAGTTGTGTTGCTGTCATGGAATCCGGAAAGAGATTGTGATAAGTTGGAAGAGGTACGTATGCTGCTGTTATCATTTTGCCTGTTGAGAGAAATACATATGGTGGGAGTTTAGTGTCTTCATTTATTTACCAACTCTTATTAAAAGTAAGTGACAAACACCAAACTTACCAGCAAACCACCTGCCATGTAATGCATTGACAGCAGCAATAGCTGCAGCAATTGATGGGCACTTCACATACACATTGCCCTGAAAAATAATTTTAAAATAAAGGTCAAAGATATAGTAATATATCTAAAAGACAGATCATTTCCCTGGATGATAAATATACCTAATATTTTATTGGAAGGAAAAAAAGGTCATGGGGGAGGGGGAAAAGGTTAATATTCCAAAAGATCCATTGTCTTTGATTTGGAAGCATCTGGGCAATAAGATGCTAGGACTTCATGGCAAGATTTGAACAGTACAAGCAACTGCTAAGGAATTGGTAAAAATTTATTTTGAAAATTGTCTTTTATTTAGGTGGAGATGATGTGTTTTTAATGAATGGGCTCTGTATGATAGACTAGATTGAACCACAAGGTCAAGGTATCAAATTCACCAGCCCCTTCATAGGAAAAAGGTTAGGCTTTCTGTTCCTACAAAAATTTTTGTGTCTCAGAAACCCTACACAGGGTGGCTATGAGTTAGAACAGATTCAACAGCAACAATTAACAAATAAGTTAGAAAACTTGAGGAGATTATTAAAACAAAAAATTCTTATCAACTTTATGTTTTGAAAATGAAAAATACCTGAGCTGAATTTTTATCGACATAAATATGAATAACTCCTCCATGTTTATTACATTCTTCAATGACATCATCCTTAATTTCTGTATCCCATCCAACTTCTTCCTCTCTGTAAGAAAAGTTAAACCTTATGAAACATTCAAACAAACTTAAAAATAAAAACATCCCACAAAACATCTGTAATCACCCAAAACCTTCTAGTCTATGAGTAATGAATCCCAAGATTCCATCTAGGGTAAACTCTAAAATACAAAACACCAATGAGAAGTTTAGATTGACTAACAAATTATAATCAAACCACAAGCTAGGAACTTGGATGGAAATATTTCTAACTCAAACACTATTATACATTATCAATGGAGGAATTTTTCCCCCTCATATTAAATGGCAAAAGTTCAATATATAAAGCCAAGAACAAATTACAGGGTAATAATACAGAACTATCCTGGAAACCGGCTTAGGAATCTGAAGTTTTAACACTCAATTCTAATACTATAAATGTATCCAAAGAAATAATTAGCAATAAGCATAAAAATGAAATTAAAAGATTACTTACGTTTGAGGATTAAACATGTTAGATAATTGGAAACACTGCGTTGCAAGTGGTTGAACAGAGGCAGCGGCTGCTAAAGCTGAAGCTAAAAAAAAAACAAACAAACAAATTACTTTCTTAATAAATACATCCCTGATAAATATAGCAAACCACTAAACCTACCGTTAACTCTAAAAGAATCCTTTCACTTATTTATCTATTTAAGCTAACCACCATACCCCCATTTAAGATCCAAAAAAACCTAAGGTAACATAAACATTTTCAATGATTATCATTGAGGGTTGTGATTAATTCAGTAATACTAAATTATAAAGACCATAAAAGATGAATTATTACTGTATCATATATATAATTTTACAACTATAATCACCCACCCTTGAAAATCTAAAAAAAAAAAAACTCAAGTCAACCTAGAGTCAAGGTTAATAAATTTGGGGGGTCTTTACATAGAATTAAAATTTTTTATTAATTTTTAACTGGATCTACTCAATTAGACAAAATAGTTAAATAAAAATCAATCCACAAAGACAAAGGATAACAGTGTAGACGAATCAGTTTATACGATGAACTGAAACCTATATACTTTTGTACTGCTTTTAGGTAGTAGTATATAGTTGTTCATTTTCTTTTGTAATTAAGTTTACTTATAAAAATCATCTAAGCATTTAAAACTCAATATCCTAGAAAATAATAAATCGTATAACAAAATCAAAGTTTTAAAAATTCAGTCTCTTTTAGTACAATTCAGAAACAAGGATTAGAGTAGCATATCAATAAAATCACTATTAACACATTCAAAAGAACTACTTGATATGGCATTCATTCAGGAACAACAAAATACAGAAAACTGGTTTAAGTTCTAAGTTATATTTGCTCCACTGCTTTCCTGTGAATTATGAAAAACATTACCAATAGCTGCTCAAAACTCACCGTAATCATATTATATGACCAAATTTCATTTCAATATACAATAACAAAGCTAAGGATAAAACAGTACATTAGAAGTTATGATAATTAAAAAAAGTGATCTGGAGTTAGTATCTGGGAATGGAAATATTCCAGTGATTAAAAATTAAGATTGTGCATGACATACATTGCAAAAGAATGCTTGTTTCTGGTAGAATTACAAGCGACTTAATCTTGTTTCCATTTTGGTACAATAAGCTTGTATTATCCTTCATAGAGCTTTATTTTAAATTAAGAAATAGTGAATCAAGTGATGTGAAATTATTTTGATAATGATAAAGATGCAAGAATGTATTCATTCTGTTTACAAAATAAGGAATACTATTCTGGTACTTATCAAATGTATCCTGGAAAAACCACTAGATTATATCAAAACAATTGGGGAGGACATGACTTTTTGTGGTTTTTCATATTTACCATGATTCAGAACTAGTAACAGTGGGAAATGTACAACAGAAACATTTGGGCTCAAAACCTAAATCATGACAATGAATCCAACATCAAACAAGAAAACACCTCTATTATCTAACATATTTAACCTATTAACGGAAAGATCTATTATCACAATATTTCATTTGCTGGAGGAAAAAAAAAAATCTATTTCTTAATTTTCCCTGCATGGTTGGCTTGGTATAAGCTCACCAGCCGCTACTCAGAAACTCTATACAGGATCGCCATTGGGTCAGATCGACTCAAAAGTACGTAACAATAACTACACATATCAAACAGGGATCCTAATGAGGTGTTGTAGGATAAACATTGCATTGATAACTACAAGGTTGGCAGTTCAAACCCACCAGGCACTCCTCAGAAAGCCTATATAGGTTCACTATGATTCAATATAATTCAATTACAATGATCAAACACAGTAGAATTTATTTATGTACAACCACATGGATATAGAAACCGAACTTGGCTCTTGAAAAAAATAAATAAAAAGTGAGCTCCTCTTGTAAAATGGCAAACGTTTAATAGTTTACTTATTTCTTCTTTCAAGTCCGCATGCAAATTTTACATCAGAAAATTTCCCTCATTGTTTGGCGATGTTCATAGAAATCAAAGCCAAAGGTCCATTGTATAACAACAAAAATAACTATATGATGATCCTAATTTCAAGTATACTCAGTGACTTATTAAAATATTATCTCAAATTCTGATTTTAAAATAAAACATAAAACTATAAAATATAATCAGATAAAAATGAAATAAGAATGGTAATAATTTAATTCTAACAAATTACAGCAAAAATTGCATGTACGTTTTAATTTCTTTTACTCGTGTAATTATGACTTGTATTAAGTCCTTTGAGATACAAATAGAGACCTAACTATGTATACACATGCACTATGCATAATATGAGCAATTAGGCTTACTTTGTCCCCAAAAACAGTTAACTGTAAGCAACTATATCTTGTTCCTTCTAGTCTAGTATATAAAAGTAAATTTAAAAAATGGATAAACTAAAGAACAAAGAAGATGGCGGACAGGATGGAAGTGCAGTGAGGCGCTCCATCAGCAACAATACAGAATATCTGACAAAGCAAGCTCAGGGGACGGTCCCAGAACTCTGAACCACTTATAAAGAATATTTAGAAAGCTGGAAGGCTTACAGCCAGTGGAATTTGTAGCAGAAGCAAGAAATTCAGTTAAAGGAGGGCAGGCTTTGGAAATTCCTGAGAAAGAATTCAGAAAAATGATTATAAAATGTATCAAAATACTTTACAATGGAGTTGAGAAAAATAAGAAGTCAGGAAAATGCTACAGGAACAATCAAGTAAGATATAAACAGCATTGGAAACAATCCCAACCCACAGAAAGAGATCCAAACAAAAATAGAATATCAGAAATGGACAATACACTACAAGGGAAAAGGAGTAGAAGTGAAGAGATAGAAGCCAAAACTAGTGAGATGAAAGACAAACCTCTCAATACCACCAAGATAGAAGAACAAACAAGAAAAAAGGATAAAATCTTAGAACACGGTCTAAGATTCATGTTGGACAACATGAAGAGGAATAAGTAAAGACTTATCGGAATTCCAGAACAGGAAGAATCACACAAGTCCACAGAGGAGATAAGTGAAAAACTGGTAGAAAACTTCCCTAACTTCCTGAAAAGCAAAAAGATAAGCATCTAAGAAGCTAAACGAATCCCAGGAAGGACAGACCCTAAAAGAAAACCACCAAGACATATAATAATAATCAAGCTCTCCAAATTCAAAGATAAAGACAGAATCATGAAGGCAGCTAAGGAAAGAAGTAGTGTACCATATAAAGGCAAGCAAATCAGACTAAGCTTGGATATCTCAACAAAAACCACGCAGGCAACAAAAAGGTAATAGGGAGACATATATAAAACCCTGAAATGAAAAACAATTGCCAATCAAGAATCCTCTATCCAGCAAAGAAGTCAATCAAATATGATGGCGTGATCAAAACATTCCAGGATAAACAGGAGTTAAGGGATTTTATCATAGCCAAATCAACAAGTACTGACAACAACCAGATATTGATGAAAGTGGCCGCATCACTCCAAAGTCAATTGACACATGGAAGAATCTCGAACAAAACAAATCTGTAAGAACAAATTCAGAGGTTCTGGGAAGTCAGTCTATGATCAAAACAATTACAACATTATGAAAGAAGGTAAACACAGAGGAACAGAGAAGTAGGTAGTGGGAAGGTCAGGTAAATTACAGGATAAAATAAACTGTCTTAAATGGGGGAAAAGTTAAAGGAATATAAGGTAACTACAATGGCGGGGTTGGGTTGGAGGGTTTCGGGAGAGGTAGAGGGAGGCAATGGCAGAGCACAGGATAAAGGTAGGCACATCCTAGTTTGGGTATTGGGGAGGACAATGCAAGAAGGGCAAGGAGGTGGAAGAACAAGGTAGAAAGGGAAACACTGAGACAGGTTTGCATGGCCAAAGTGGAACACAGGTAAACAGTGATACATGCTTCACCTTAGAACAACAGGGTTCTGTGATACAGGGATCTAGGCATAGTTAGAAGAGGGGAAATAATACTACAATGCCTGACTATCTTATGAAAATTGGTTTCCCTTGCCTACTATTGTAAAATAGACACTTGAGTGGGATAGAAAAGAGTGTAGGGAAAACATGATTACAGAAAACCTGTAAGCCTATCTTCAGCCTATAACTGATTGGAATACCTCAAAGGCGTTCTAGAACTTGTGCAGTGAAATATGCCTCTTGCGGAGCCCTAGCAGTCTATAGGACATTAGGTGGAACCCTGACATCCATGCAGAACATTATGAGGTGGGACATTCCCACTAGCAAGGGCAAGCAGATCAGCCTGGAACAGCTAGAGCAATAGAAGATGCATCTTCAAAGAAAAATCATCAGGGAAAACCCAAAACAAAAATGTCAATACAACTGGCTACTGCAACATCAAGCAAACTGTTCACCGGAAAGCCATCAAGGCAGGCTATCAACTTCCTTCAGGACAAACCCCCCTCTAAGACTGAAACTCAAAGGAACACATGAGCAGGCATGTAAGCTTCAGCATGTTGGTCTACTGTTGAGTATAAGAGGGGTAAAGGCAGCAATGAAAAAATGGGCTGAGTAAAACCACCATCCATTGACTCCCATTGACCTGGAGATGAAAGAGAGAAGAGGAAGGGCTGGTCTAATTTGTGGTGAGACAGGGGGATAACCTGAGCCCATGGACAAGGACATAGCCACAGAGGGCTAGAGCTAACAGTGAAGCATCCAGGTGATATAAAGTGAGGGGAGAGGCATAAGAAGAACACCCAAATTTGCAGACAGTACCTATTTGATCTAGCCTCGATGGATTGATAATCAGAATTCGTCTAGAGGAAGATTACAGAAAAATAAATTTTTTTTGATAAAGGAAACAAGGGTATATTGTTACAATTTGATGACCAACAGAGAGGCAAGGAGTCTTCAAATCAAGTACACACCCTCTGTACACATGGTATAAAGGGACAGGCAACTTAGACATTGGCTACCTAAAATGGGGGATGGGGACAGGGCAGTGCAGATAAAGCCATGAAGTGACTGGCTTACAAGGTTTTTAGAAGGGATTTAATTTAAGAGTATGTGGGGGAAGAAAGAATCCCCACTGAATAATTGTCATCTTCTCCAGATAGGGCTGGTGAAATGACATGGGGATAAAATTCGTATGATTCAACTGTTATCATCATGACTAATTGTGACTATCACAATTGTAAAGGTAGAAGTTTTTTTTAACAAAGCATCCTAGGATCATCAAGGGAGAAGGGCACAAGTGGAATGAAGGCCATCTTATCCAGAGAAGCAATGAAACCAGAGATGGAGGCAGAGATGGGGGCATGAAGAGGGGGAGCGGCTGAGGACTGTAGAGTCATGGGAAGAGAGGGACTAAGAGCTGGTGGCCAGGAGGCAGACTTGCAGAATGTGCCCTTTGGCAGTATAAATTATTATATATGCCTGAGTGGTTTTTTTTTGTTTTGTTTTGTTTTTTAAAGAGCTTAAGTGAATAGAGAGAAATATTGTTAACTCATGGTGCATGGAAGGGAATGTAATCATTGTTTTATGAAACATGTTACATGATTTGTTGAATATAAAGTTGATGATCTGCCCTGTAAACTTCCACTTGATCCACAATAAAAACTTAAGGAAAAAATACAAAAAAAAAAAACAAAAACCCGAAACAAAACAAAAACGGATAAACTCAGTTTAACTCACCTTCAGTCTGCTGGGAAAGTCTTGTTTGTAAATCTATAACAAAAGAGAATTCTACAGCTCAGTGCAGGAACAATGAAGAGCCTCAACTAACAGGGTAAATGTCAGGAAAGTATTAATAAAAGAGGACTACATTAGCAGGGTTTTTCACAATGAACAATACAACCTGGCAGCAAAACCACCTTCCCCATTCCTCATTGAGAAGGCTTTGGGGCCTTTTTAAATCCTCCAAGCAAAACTTTCTTTTGCCTGTCCCTTCCTATTGATCCTATTCCTGATCATAAATGCATTCCACTACACTACTTCTCAGTTGGGAATAATGGGAAATGGGGAAAGGGGAGCACACCGGTCAGAATAAATGAAATAAAAACCCTGACCTTGAGAATTCAATTCCAAGTACTTGGGAAATGTAACCATTATTTTTCCAGCTGCAAAAACTTTCAAGTACATCAACATGTACTACGTTTCTAAACAATGATAAAGCACAACCATATATGTAAAAGTTTGTGTACGTACATGAATTTTTTTAAAGTGCCTTTTAAATCATATCAAACACCAGAAGGTGACAACTTTAGTAACCTGGTTTCCTAGCTTACTTTTTGGTAAATTTAAAGAGGCAGAATTTAAATCTATGGGATTTATTTTTTTATAAGCATTAAAAATGAAATAGGAATTCCTACCAGGATGTTTTCCAACATTTATAATGAAGAGACTGCAAACAAGTAAAAAGTAATTTATTAAATATAATACCAGGAATTTATGGCAAAATGTTTTAAGGCTATATTGGATGTCTAAAGGTGACAGAAATAAAGTACTTACAAATATCTAGATTCAGTAAGTTAATATTCTTTAAACATGACTCAAAATTTGCCAAACACTATTCCTATTTGATTTCCTTTTGAGGTAACAAAATGATAACAAAAAACGGGCCAAAAATGTTAAAGGATCAGCAGAGCAGCCCAAGTTATATTGGGATATAAAAATACCTGGGTCCTAGGTGCTCAAAATTGGCATCTCAGGGAACTGATGTATATATACTGAAGGAACTTGAAGATATGACCATAGGACCACTGTCAAGAAACGTTAAATTATAACACAATGTCTTTTTTATTCCTAAAATGGGAAAAAATGTATAGATATCAGAAATCCATGGTATTTTAAATTTTTATCAATTCTTATCCAAATTTCAAAAATGAATGATCAGGTTGTTTGTCACAAATAGGAAATAAACACGGGTTTCATAAACATAAGGATTCTAATCATATTTTCTCTCAGAATGGATCTATCAATAAAACAGCATAATAAAGAAATGTGGAAATAACGATGTCCTATATATCTCTTTGTTTGCAAACAACAGCTTTCATGGATTTAGGGAATAGTGCGTCAAATACAGTACTCACAGTACTCTTAAAATCTGTATGTGTAAGATTTTTATGATGACCATCTAGAGAAAATTGTAATTAACATTCTACTTGTGTATATTTTCAGCTAAAGCGTATTGAGTGTTTACTATTAATGCATAAGCAATTTAGAAGTCCAAGAACCAATAAAATTTTGAAATTATCTTAATAAATAAAAAAGGGGGGACAGAAGTACATAAATACTAAAGAGAACACTGTCTATATTCAGTAATCAACCTATGAGAGGGTCCTTTAACATGGTCACAGTAAATTTCCATAGTATTATTTGATTTTTCAAACAATTTTTTACAGGACCCCTTGTGAATCCTGAGATCCAGCCAACCTCAACATAATTGAGCAGTACTGTTCCCAAGGAGGTGAGCAGTCATACTTCATAGGAGAAATGGCTAATTTGTTAAACATCAAAACATCTTCAGTAGCTGCAGCTATTAATAAAAACAAACCAAATTATTTGGTAGAGCAATGAAAGTTGAACATCATACTGTTTAGTTGAGGTGTATGTAAAGCTGTGGGATAATGTACTGGAATAAAAGGTTTCAACAGCAAGGTCAGTGGTTCAAATTCACGAGCCACTCCTCAGAAACATTATATACGGTCACTGTGTAAACTGTCTGAAGGAGGGGATAAAATCTTGTTCAACAATCTCTTGAGCAATACCTGAATTATATGACCACTAATTAAGCATTTTCTAAATAATTAAAAGAATGTCTTAAACAAGAAGTAATATAAGATGACAATTGTCAAAGCTAAAGAATAAATTCCAAAGAGGATAGATATTTCTTGAAGTGATGAGTTAGCTTTATTATCTTCCATTTATAGTAAATAAATATTACTTAATATGTTGTTGTTATGTGCCGTTGAGTCGGTTCTGACTCATAGTGACCCTGTACAGGGTTTCTGAGGCTGTAAATCTTTAAGGGAGCAGAAAGCCTCATCTTTCTCCTGCGGAACAGCTGGTAGTTTCAAACTGCTGACCTTGTGGTTCACAGCCTGATTAGTAACCGCTATGCTACCAGAGCTCTGTACTATTTAATAAAGTAAATAGTAAATTACAGTACCTTATGACTACATGATTTCTGTAAAGAAATTAAATTTCTCACACTTTTATTTTTGAAGACAAAAGTGATAATTTAGACAGATGACTCAAAATAAAGTTTTGTTAAATACAGAAGTGCATTTAACAATACTATATACCACAGTTTAGTCAGGAATTCGTAGAAAATACTTCAATTTGGAATATCACAAGGAAGATAACACAATTTGATGGTGTGCATAGCAATCCAAAGAGAGGTTTTCTAAAGGTACTTACACACTCTGGGATAGGAGAACAAGCACTAAAAGCCACATCCCTGTTATTAATAGTGAATAATTTATAATTAGTAACGATTCCTTTTTTCTAGGTAACAATAATGAGTATTTAAAAAGGAAATCATGAAGTACACATAAAAGACTTATGTATAGTCAGATATTCAACTAAATACTACTAATTTTTAGTATTGTATATCAATTTCTCAGTTATAATATCTCAAAGATAATAAAGGGCCAAATTATATTTTAAATTGTTCTATTTTCGTATAAAAATATCCTGGTACCCAACTTTAAAAAAAAGACACTTCCTCCCTTTGAACGTTATAAAAGCATAATTTAAAATACTATCTCCTAGCTATGAATTATCAAGATTTTTAAAAACCAATTTCAGATAACTTATTTACATCATAAAACATGGGATGTTTTATAATCTGAATCCCTTATTACACTATTATTTTAAACTACTGCAATTACTGCCCTGATCTGCAGAGACTCCATTAACAAAAACTCTTACAGCGCTATTTACTAAAGATGTTTTCTCAGCATTCTTGCAGAGAATAAATTTTACAAGAAAGTATTATGTTGCCCAGTGGAATTATATTCATCGTTAGATGGTTTATCTAATCTAGAATTGGATCTGATCCTTATAAGTGATGTTTTTTAAATATCCTGATTGTCAATTTGAATTAAAAACTTCTTTGCGTTAGTCAACAGTACTCATGTTTATTGTTATTAAGTGATTTTTTAAAATATCTCCTCTTCTACCTTAAATAAACTAGAAATTGACAGGCTAGAAGTACTTGATGAATTGAATTCTCAGTGAGTCCTTTCAAACGCAAAAATTTGGCAAATTTTCGAATTGGATGAAAAAAACAATGATTTCAAATTAGAAAAGATTCAATTCCTACCTGCCACAGCACCAAAGGCCAAAGAGCCACTCATTTGTAGAGCCTGTTGAGCTGCTGGTGGTATCTGCAAACCCGTACCTATAAAAGACAAATGAAAAAGAAAAGGACGTTAAAGATCTTATTTTGTTAAGCAAAGTGTTCTGGTTACTTCCTCTACAGGTGACCTTATTACAAAATAAACTATAAGGGGACAGGGTATAAGAAATACAAATAGATTTATTCTTAAGGACAAATTTAATTTGTGGTACTTAGCATAACCAGTAAATACAACCCATATAATAACTTTAAGCAAGGCATTTGTCTATAAAATATAGTTATCAAAATAAAGAAAAATTTTTCCATTCCTTAGTTTACATGGCTGCCTTTCTTCTTCAACATGGTGTTGCTAAGTGTCATCAAATCAGTTCCAGCTCACAGCAAGCATGCAGAGTTTCCAATGATTGGCTGGAAACTCTGAATTACTGACATTACAGTCCAAATCAACCTCTCTGTACTTATCCTACAGTACCACAGCAAGACTCCCATAATAAATCATTCACCTTCTAGCAACTTACCCTCTGCAAGCCTTGCCATCAATTGGAGGCGACCAGTTGTTCCCAGATCAATTCCAGTCCTTTCCAGTTCATCACTGTCCAAAAATGAACTAGCACTGGAAGCATCAGTGCGTTCAGTAACATGACCAACTTTCATTGGCCTTCCAGCTAATTCAAATCCATTAAGTTGTTCCAATGCCTTTTTGGCACATTCTGAATCAGAAAACTATTTTAAGACATGGGAAAGAAAGATTATATTAATACATAAAATAAGAAAAACTGATTTTTTACATCTAGAATACTCAATAATTATTACCGGGGGGTGGGTAACACAGAAAAATTTGTTATATCTCAAATTTCGAGTGATAATCAATATAGCCATCCTGATCAGATCATAAACGTATCAAAAATGTTATTTGTTGGTCTAAGCAGTTAAATGGCAACATCTGTATATTTAAACAAACACGTAATCTTTCAGTATACTGTTGTTGTTAGGTGTCGTGGAGTCGGTTCCGACCCATAGCGACCCTGTACAGGGTTTCTGTGGCTGTTAATCTTTATGGGAGCAGAACGTCTCCTCTTTCTCCCGCGGAGCAGCTGGTAGTTTCGAACTGCTGACCTTGCTGTTCACAGCCCAATTCGTAACCACTATGCTACCAGTATACTAAGAACATAAAAATAGCCATTTCCAGTATCAAAATACTTTTCAATGTGCTAGAATAAACTGAAATGGGGCCTTTCTCACAAATTTAATTCAGAAACTTCTAGATAAAAAAAGTATTAAAAAAAATTATTTCAAACAAAATTCTGTAGTTTTATTTAATATCAATAAAACAATAGAAAATCTAATTCTAGGATACAGATAGAAAAAATAAAACTCTAGTTTTAACTTAATGGAAAGACTATTTTCTCAAGTATTTCAGAGCTCAGTCTGTCATTAGAATGAATAATAAATAATTCAGACAGTACAACTATTTCATAAAATTTTCTGGACTGTAATCTTTATATAACAGCAGCTATCTCCTGTGGATGGGTTACAATCACTAACTTCTGAATGAACAGTACAGAGTTAAATTGTTGTGCCACCAGTGCTCTTGTTTAGATACTTCTTGTTATTAAGTACCATAGTGTCAGTTCTAACTCAATGCAACCCTGTATGTAAAGGGTTTTCTGAGACTATTAATCTTTGTAGGACCATTATGCTTCATCTTTCTCATGGGGAGAAACTGGTGGGCTCGAACCACTGACTTTTTTTTCTGGTTTGCAGTTCAATGCTTATTGTACAGAGCCATCGCCCTCCACTATTTAGCTACTTAGAAGTTAAAAAAAGTTTTACCTATAATCACAGTATGTAATCATATCATACCTAAGTCGAAATAAATTAAAAACAATACTTTATGAAACACGTCCTCATTCTTTTTTAACTCTTAATGGTCTTATAAACATGTATGAATAAGCTAGTTCTTCTCATAAAAATCTAAAAACTAAATAATCAGAATACTCAATGTAATGTAAATCACAATTAACATCACATTTATAATTTAAACAAATCCCTGGATCTTCAATAACATTTTAAAAAAGGAAACACAACCACACTAAAGTTATTACAGAAGAACTAAAACTATGGCTGACAGTGTTTTATAAATACCCATTTTCTCCTTATATCAGTACACTAAGGCAGATAAAAAGATTAATGACCAATAACTTTAAAGGTAGTTTCTGTATCAATCAATACATGTTGTTGTGTGCCACGGAGTTGGTTCCGACTCATAACAACCCTGTACAGGGTTTCTGAGGCTATGAATCTGTACGGAAGCAAAAAGCCTAATCACTTTTAATTAAAATCTGGATAAAATTTAAGTTTCCTCATTAAAACAAAGTTGTAAAGCTAAAGTTGTAAGAAGAGCTGGTGAAAAATGTGCCCATATGTAAACACAATAAAATGGTTAAATAAACCAGATTGGTGCACATTTCATATGGCTACTAGATAGTAAAAGGAGATCTGGCAACGTAGTGGCTAGGAGTCGGGCTGATAACCTCAAGGTTAGCAGTAGAAACCAGTTGTTTTGTAGGAGAAAGATGAGGCATTCTGCTCCTGTAAAGACTTACAGCTTTGGAAACCCTATACAGGGAACTGTGAGTTCGAACCAGTTCCATGGCACAACACCACTACCACTAGACAGTAAAGGAGCTCTGGAGTGCCATGGTTACAATTACAAGTTGGACTGCTAAACTGAGAATCAGCAGTGTGAAACTACCAGCCATTCTTATAGAGAAGGCTGAGGCTGCTTTCTGTTTTAGAGCCTCGGAAACACTTTGCAGGGTCGGAACCAACTCCATGGCACACCACCACACACATGGTATCAGTAACAGATCATTGTGTGGCACTGTATGTAGTATAAGCACTGAACTGCTAATAGCAGCCACTGCAAAGAAAGGATATACAAGACTGTTAAGTCAGAAACAATTCAATGGGCCTTAAGAACTAGGTAGTAAAGAATTAACTTTACCCAGAGTTAGGATGATCTTGTTCCTTGTCCCAAGTTTCAGGTAGGCAACACCTTTAAACTCTGGTAATTTCTCCAATTATTAGTGCCTCAATGAAATAGTACAAAATGAAGCACAATGGATCCCTAGATATTCAAGTAGTATGTTAAAGGACTGCCTCGGCTGAATTACCACAACTAAAACCTTGTGAAATTCAGTCTGCCCTATTGGAAAGGGCGTGGGTTGAGACTAGAATTTAATCACATGGCCAATGATTCCAGCTGACTGACAGGATTCTGTATACAGGAGCAGATTTTCTAGTTTAGTGCCATTTCCAAATTTCATCTAATGTTCTCCCTTGGGACACTTTGTAAACATTTTACTATAATAAAACTATACTGCTTTCAGTGGGTTCTGTGAGTCATTCTAGAAACTTATTGAACATAAGGATGAAGTGAGGGTGGCCCTGGGAACCTCCAAATTTAAGATGTTTGAAGTAAATGCAGTCATATCAAAAACTGCCATTAGCCTAATGCCAGATAGTTGATTCCAGGCATCATTTGCAACTATTAACTGCAAACTAATTTAAACCACTTCAAAGTATTAACTACACCAGTCATCATTGCAGTTTTACTCGAATGCTTTAATCAAAGGTTTTTAAAAATCTTTAGAATATGGGACTTGCTTACTGTAATAAATCCATATCCCTTGGATCGACCCGTTTCACTATCCATCATGAGCTGTATACTTTCAATCTAAAAGAGAAAATCGTAAATATCACACAGGCATTTTCATTCCTTAAAACATATGAAAAATCAAGAAAAACTTCCTGTTAAAAAGATGCCTCCTAGCAAAGAATTCAAATCATCACATCTAACAACAATAGAAAACTAAGTACACATCAGACTGCTCCCTAAAGATGAAATTTTTGTTACCTCAGAAGCTTCCCAAAAATGGTGCTTTAAGTACTATCTATAATACAGGGTTCGCTATGGGTCAGAACTGACTTAACAGCACTTAACAACAACAATCAGTTCTGACCCATAGCAACCCTGTATAGGGTTTTCTGAGAAGCAGCTGGTATGCTGACCCCCCAACCTTGTGATTCAAACCAACTTTGCAGTCCAGCACACTGACCCACATGCCATACCAGGATTCCACAAAGATATACAATCCTATAACTACTATACAAGGGTCAATATGAGTTGGAATCATCTTGATGGCCCATTAAGAACACCAGATAAATTAGAAAATGGATACAGCAACCAAAACTGACACTGGATGTGTTGATGCAACATCACTATGAATACACTAAATTCCCTGAACTGTATACTTTAATAGAGTGAATTATAGTTTATGAACTTTTATCTCACATATCCAATAAGAGCCAATTTAAAAGTCTCCAAAAAAGGTTTAATTCAAACAGACTTTTTTGTCGATATTCAAATTTTTAATTTTTATTGTGGTAAAATAATTAATTGCAATCATTATATATTTTACCACCAGCACTATAGTAACACTGTTAATAGTAGTGTCTACAATATCTAAATGGTTGGTGGTTATGTGCCGTGGAGTCAGTTCCGACTCACAGCAACCCTGTAAAGGGTTTTCCAAGGCTGTAAATCTTTACAGGAGCAGAAAGCCTCATCTTTCTCCCGCAGAACAGCTGGTAGTTTTAACTGCTGACCTTAAAGTTCACAGCCTAATTCGTAACCACTACGCTAAAGAGCCTCAGAAATAAGACAAATCAGATACACAGAAAAAGAATGATAGTTATAGCATAATCAAAAACCTTTTAATTATTTATTAAAAAGTTTGAACTCACTCTTCCAAAAGGCTCAAAGATCCCCCGAAGCATATCTTCAGTTATGTTAAAGTGTAATGAGCCCACATAAAGTCTCATAGGTCCAGCACTGCCCTTTTGTAGATTGTTTGCCATTGCTGCAGCTCTGTTTTTTTCTGCCTACAATCAAAATAGACCAGTTACACATCACACAGCATAATTCAAGGAAAAAAGATAGTATCCATTATACAACATTACGCCATTAATGAATTCAGGTATTCAAGATACTAAATGTGTGAGGGGGAAAAAAGTGCTTCATAAAACTTTGTATTTAATGCTCATTAGTAGTGTTGTTCAAAGCAGGACACTGACATGCCAAACATCAACCATCATTCACAAACTTATCAATTTGAGAATTAAAAAGACTGCTAATCACAAGATTGCTAGTTCACGTTCATAAGCCGCTCCTCAGAAACCCTCTACAGGGTTGCTATGAGTCTGAACTTAATGGATAATACTTAATAATATGCCTTTATATAAATCAAGCTATATACATCTAACCAAGCCATTCAGTTTAGCGGTCCTTTTTACTATAAACCCATCTCAATGAAGTTAACAGCACTCAATTTATATTCTAACACAAACTCTTTTTCTAGTTACCAACTGAGGCACATGGAGTAATACTTGCCAGCATGTTAGAAGACAAAAATTTAAAAACCTCATTTGATCCTCAGTTTTTGCTCATTCTAATATACACATTATTAAGTCTGTCCCCCATTATCCTGAGCTAAGCAATGAGTAATTCTGTTTATTTAAGAAGAGGTTTACACAGGGGGTTTCAAAGACAGTAGCAGTTGAGCATGTTAACTGCTTGTACCATCCAGGGAACTACATTAAAGTTTAACTATGTTAAAGTTTAACCTATTATTATTTTCACTTTGAAATGGCAATATATACTCAGATCTAGCATAAAAAAGCTTGTGTACTTTAAAGAAGTTTGATGATGTAAGAAAACTATTTAGGAGTTATTAAACATTTATTTCAGTGACTCGAAAGTTAAGTCATTTATACTCTCCATTTAAAAGACTCGTGACAGAAATTACTAAATATTTCTTAATATAAATGAGTACTAAACGAGAGAATCATAAAATACAATAACCAAGGAAATGCAAAAAAATTTTTTTAACTTGCACCAAAGATAAAAGTGATGACTATACTTAAGATACTACACCCATCAACAAGAGGTCACCAACATTTTCAATGATGAAATCTTTAAATAACTAAAAAATTTACCTGTGATGCTTGTACTATGATTGGCACTCCTAAAACACGCTGCCCAGTTAATCCTATGGCTAGAGGCACTGAGCTAACATCGACAAACTCCACATAAGCAATTCCTTTGGAACGTCTTGAATTTCTATCAGAAATCATCCTTACATCTCGAACCTAAAAGGAAAAGAGAAAAAAAAGACTCTCATTTCTTAAAACTATCTAAATTATTTTAGATGCAATTTCAAAAAAGCAATTAAATTAAAAGGCACATTAATCCGAACTACCATAATGATTATTATGCCTTGTTGAGCATCAATAATGTACTTTATTTCATAGAATGATATATATTTGAACTAAAAATCTCTCATGTAGTAGTTTTTGGAAAGCACATTAATGGTGCTGTAAAATGTCGTTTTTTAATTTAAGCAAAGAAAATTCGAGGCCTACTCATTTTTTACAATGAATCTGCTGTACACATTTGTTAACTCTAACACTATTAACTTCAGATATATAAAATACAAAAGCTACCAAAAACAAATTCCATATATAAATTATGTTATGAAAGAAAAATAAGTTAGTGTTTTGCTATCTTTCCATTTTTATCTACCTTGCTGATAATTAAAAATGTTGTACACAGTAATCACTTTTCTGTTTTCCTTAAAGATTACCTTTCCTACTGTAGAGAAAAACTCTTCCAAATCCCGTGGTCGAATTCTTGCTGCCAGCTGCATGCAGAAAACAGTCCGTGCATCTCTTTCCTCAGGAGTTAAATTATCAATAGGTTCCCTGTAAAAGTGTATTCAAAATTAATGTTGTAACTTATTACCAAGCCTATCTTTATAAAGATTTGTACAAACATAAATTAAATACAGTATTATCATGAATAAATTTTTACTAAATGTTTCTAACAAACGTATTCTCCACATTAACAGAACCAAAAAAAGTCTGTTATCCCTAAAATATTAACCTCTCTAAAATAAAAAAGATTCATTCAAAGTCAAACATTTTGGTCATATAAAATAAAGCCTAAGTCCTTGTGTGGGGTAATGCACTAGGTTTGCAAGGTCATTTTGAACCACAAGGTCAGCGGTTCAAATTTAAGAGCCACTCCTTAGAAACCCCATACACGGTTACTGTGAGTTAGAAACAATTCCACAGCACTTAACTACAACCACACATTCTGGAGACCTGGTATGGTGCTGTATTTATCATTTTAAAAAAAGTATAAGGTCCAGGGTTAAACCCACCAGCTATTCCTTGGAAATCTTACACAGGGTTCCCTAGAAATCAAAACCACCACTGTCCTTGTCAGGCAAGAATCGATAGAATAGGTGATCAATCACTATATACCTGGGATGCTTCCCGATCTAAAACAAAACTGTAATTCCTTAAAATGAAATTAAGACTAAACATGCTATTATGGTTAATATATTATTTATATAGATAATAAAGGAGCTCTGGTAGCATAGTGGTTACGAATTGGACTGTGAACCTCAAGGTTAGCAATTCAAAACTACCAGATGTTCCAAGGGAGAAAGATGAGGCTTTCTGCTCCTGTACAGATTTACAGCCTCGTAAACCCTGTACAGGGTCGCTGTGAGTCGGAACCGACTCCATGGCACATAACAACAGCAGTGTATTTTATTTAAAAGCAAGAAAATTCTGACAAACATTCAAAATCAAGTTAATGTTCTAGGAATGGTCTTTTTTTTTTTTTTAAAGGAAAGAAACAAATGGTAAAAATTCTTTCTTATATGAGGCTAATTCAAGTAATAATTCAAATATATTAGTGCTAAGCTATAGGATAAGCATGGGACCACAATGTCAGTTTGAGGTGCAAGGCCAGCAGTTCAAACCCAACAGCAGCTCAACCACACTTAATAAAAATCTTAACTGGAGCAGATTGTTAAATCTTTTCTAAGAGCAGCTGTTAGCAGAGAAAAGCATTTAACCACTGTGCTACCAGCGCTCTTATTAAGGGCTGTTGAGTCTATTCTAACTCATAGCAACCCTGTATACGGTTTCTAAGGAGCAGCTATGGGTTTGAAGAACCACCAACCTCATAGTTAGCAGTCAAGTGCTTATCCTACAGTGCCAACCAGGCTTCCAATGATTTATATAATTACTAACAAAAAGAGTTAAACATAAAGGAGAAATAAGAAAGCAAGATTCATTAGGATTCAAAATGTTATACGGTCCAAACTACTTTGATTTACTTTAGAAATTACAAAAGCTAACTGTAAAGAAAAGATAAAAGGGCAATACCTACCTCACAGGGCTCTTGTCTTTTCTGAATGGACTTTTGCTACGGGAACGTCTTCTGCTGCAAGTTAGAAAAAAATGTTTCAGAAGTTATCCAAACAAGTACATCGCATTTATTTGTTGAAAATAAATTTAAATAATTCAGAAGGATGTTTAAAAACCTTAATTTGATGCTATGAGGCAACCCAATCTTTCCTCGGATGGCACTGTTAAATTTTGGTCCGGAACTAAAAAGGAAACACAAAATTACACTAGTTAGAGATTTCTGGTTTTGCTAAGACACATTCACACACTCCCAACAACTTTAACATTTTTTAGGTGGCACATGTTTTCCATTTCAATAGGTGGCACTAAACTTTTATAACATACTGTGTCCCAGGCATGTAGTCCTATTGTGGCGCAGTGGGCAGTTCTTCTGGACTGCAGTCAGTTTGAACCACAAGATGCTGGTTCAAGCTCACCAGCTGCTCCTTGGAAATCCAATACAGTGGCTAGGTGTTGGAACCAACCTGACTGCACTTAGCATCCCAGGCATGCTGCCATTGTATTTATCCATCTTGGACCCCTGAGCTGCCAAGGCCAAAAGTTTTTAAAAAATGTTTAAATCTGAAAATACTCCCAACTCAAGTTCAATCGTTGTTGTTGTTGTTAAGTGCCATCGAGTCGATTCCAACCTATAGCGACCTTGTATAGGGATTCCAAGGAGCAGCTGGTGAGGTTGAACCACTGAACTTGCAGTTCCAAAGACCTTGCAGTCTGACACATTAGCCCACAGCGCCACACCAGGACTCCAATTTCAGTCTAGTTTTTTTAAGTACACATATGTGAGTATTTTCTGAATTAAAAAAAAAAAGAAATGAATGGAAAATTTCCCTTTTAAGATTAATGTCCCAAATCTCACACCAGGATTAACAACTTGGTGTGTATCCCAGCAGTTCATTTTCCAAAAAGATGTGCATATATACATAAACAAGGAGCACCGGTGCACAGTGGGTTTAAGTACTAAACTGCTAATGGGTTCACACCACTTGAGTCAGAATCAACTCAATTGGAAGAGGTAAACATCCAGAAGTACAGATAACCCTGATTTTTTGTTTTAGAGACATAATTCTTCCCATTTTCATGAAACTTTGAATTTTCTGTTATTAAATCTTGAGACTACATAACAGCAAATTTAACATTATAGCTTCAATTCTTTGTGTTAAAGTATTCCATGTAAAGATGTGGGGACAATTCAAATTCTTTTTAAAAAATTTTTTGAGGATTAAAGTTAGTAGCTACAAGAGCATTTTCAAAGCAAATCATGTAACTCTTCTGCAAGACACCTTTAATAGTTTTGTGCTTTTTTTTATTTTTGAAGCACAGAGTAAGTTTAAAGAACAAGACAGATGTCCCTTAGTGTTCAGCCTATCCTATTCCACAAGAACAAAACGAAAATAAATGGCAAACAAAACATTCAAGCAGCTCCACATAGTTACTTTAAGACAGATCCTTTGCAGTTCTTAACAAAGAATATACATACTACAACAGAACACCAAATAAGCTTATTTATCACCCTTTTCCCCGGTTTTCAAATAACACCAGACCTGGATCATAGAAACATAAATTTCAGGTTTCCCTTACTCAACAAAGGTAGCATTATTCTGAACTCATTAATTTCCGGGCCCCTATTAAGTACATAAGAGCTCTGGTAGTGTAGTGGTTACGAATCAGGCTGTTAATCTCAGTCAGCAGTTCGAAACTACCAGCTGTTCCATGGGAGAAAGATGGGGGTTTCTGCTCCTGCAAACATATACAGCCTCGGAAACCCTGTACAGGGTTGCTATGAGTTGGAACCAAGTCCATGGCACATAACAACAATTAAGTACATAGTGGTTACGAATTGGGCTGCGAACCTCAGGGTCAGCAGTTTGAAACTACCAGCTGTTTCATGGGAGAAAGATGAGGCTTTCTGCTCCCATAAAGATTTATAGCCTCGGAAACCCTGGCAGGGTCGCTATGAGTCAGAACCAACTCCACGGCACATGACAACAAATTAAGTGTATTCTGATTTAAAAGATTTAACAGAATATCGTTTTAAGAATGTTATAAATCATGTAAATTTGACAGCAAGCCAATTATTTTCTAAATTCAGAATGGAAATAACATTGTGGTTCTTTTCATCTCTAAAAGTTTATGAAACAACAATGGTTCAAGCTCACCAGCTGCTCCTCAGAAACATTATACAGGGTCGCGATGAGTCGGAACCGACTTGATGGCACTTTAACAACAAGAGGAACCTAGAACACTTAGTAGTTCAACCCTTTTTTAAAAAAAAATTAGGTTCAGAATTCATAAATGTTACCAACTCCTAATGGCTGTTAATACCAAAATATTTAATAAAAGTATTCTAATTATTTTATTTATAATCATTTCTTATCCAATCATTGATAGTTTGACAGTCAACTGTTTCTTCCCCCTTAAAAGAAATGAGGTATGCAGGGTATACCCTTTGGTTGGTTGATGATGAATGGAGGGGTTGTCACCATAGCAATGAAACGATGTATGATAGGATAATGTAAAACTAATGTTCTCCCATGTGAACTATGCACATTAATTCACTAAACATTAAAAAAAAAAAAAAAAAGGAAAGAAATGAGGTAACAAAAGCTCAGAAGGTCAAATAACCTGTTACAGTGCCTCTGATTCAGATCTGGTATGTCTTTAATTCCTGATTTTTAAACCTCTCATGTTTAAGATTAGAAATGTTCATTTCAATGTATCCCAATATACATAAGAGGAGATCATAAAAACACATTTGCTGTTAAGTGCCCTGTAAAGGGTTTTTGAGAAATGGCTGATAAGTTTGAATCACCAATCTTGCAGTTCAAACCAACCTTATGGTCCAGTACATTATACTTCAATACACCAGGACTCCATAAAAACTTAGAATTGCTACATTCAACACTTGTTTGTAAACAAGCTCTTTCCAAGTTACTAATTACTGAGTTCTTTATGACTAAATTAACTTACTTTATTCTATCTAGTTTTCAAATCATTTAGATAACTACATTAAAATTTCCATATTGAATTTTTCAATGTACTTTTGATTACTATATATATTACTACTGAAGAAGTTGAATGTGTGAAGAGAAAACTATCATCAAGGTTATAAAACATATGGATAAAAGGTCTGTCATTTCAGGTGCAATAGATACAAACACAGTATCTGACGACTATTCATTTCAACATAGTATCTATTTGATCTTTTAAAACTTAATTAAAATAATGGAGAAACAGAGCAATGGAGGGCTCTAGAATCGTGTGCTGGCGGTTAGGAGGCATGCGTACAGAATGTGCCCTTTGATTGTTTCAATGATCATATATTTATATATTCCTGAGTGTTTTTGTGTACATCCCCCACCCCTCAAAAAAAAAAAAAATAGAGGGAATAGAAGCAAATACTGTTGAATGATGATGCACTTTTCAAAGCAATGAAATAATGTGTGTAAACCGATGTTTTCCCATGTAAACTATCACTCAATTCACAATAAAACCTTTAAGAGAAAAAAAAAAGTTTATTAAAGTATGGATGTATTCACTAAAAAATGTTAAGGCTCACATTTACCATCTCAATGTTTGGCACAGTATTATATCCTTTTTTAAATAAAAAAAATTTAAACTAGTATAAAATTCAAGCATTTTTAGGTGTAATAAAAACAAAGTATTTGACACTATATTATGTCCTTTTAAAAAAAAAAAAAATTTGAACTAGTATAAAAAAAAAAATCAACCATTTTTAGGTGTAGTAAAAACCATAAACTTCAGCTAAATTTGCATTTTAGTTAAGTATTTCCAAAGCCAAGACCTTAACCCCTTTTAACCAAATATACTGAAATGTAATGCTTTACACAATTCAAATCACTCAGGTGAGTTGATATTTGGATAACTATAGAATGAACCTCAAATCAAAATCATCATTATTTTACATACTAAGGACTTCTGTAGCGGCCTCTGAATCTGCGATCTCGACTTCTTGAGCGACTCCGTCTCCTTTCTTTGCTTCTACTTCGCTTCCTTTCACGGCTTTTGCTCTTTTTCCTTTCTCTATCTCTACTTCGTTTCCGCTCCTTACTTTTGCTTCTCTTTCGTTCATGACTACGACTTCTGCTCTTGCTTTTTTTCCTCCTGAGAAGAAAAAAATCATTGTTTTGCTAGTTTTAGAATCCATTAAGATTTACTTTTCCTTTTGTGCTCATTAGAAATTTTTAAAAAGTCGTTTTGTAAAGCCTGACATTTCACTATCACATAATGGTAAATAATCATATTTAAGATTCCTAGATAATCAACACCCAACCTTAGCATTTACTATAGGAAATCAGCAATCAGTAGACAAGAAAGTATTTTAGAGATTCCATCCACTAAGAGTAGGGAGGGGCTGCAACAATCTCCTGGGAGTCAGCTGCAACTTTAATAAGGAGCAGGATTTGTCTGCAGGTATAGATCAAAACCAACTTTTACATAAAAATTTTAATCAGTAACAGCCAACAAGTATTACATAACCAACAAGAAAAAAATGAAATCATTAACACTAAAAAGTACTCATATTTAAGTACTAGTTCCCATGTTTTTAAGTATACTATTGTTCGTTATGTAAACCAATTTTATAAATACAGGACTATTTCAAACTTTCAAAGGGCCATCTAATCTAATCATCAACATTTTGGTCTTGCAAAAGCAAAATTGCAAATAATGGCAAAGGACACTGAGAATATAAAATGCATTTTGAGAATTCCCAGACCTTAACACCAGAAAATGGAGTATTCCATCTTTGAACCAGTTTATACAAGCCTGTGTGGGATGTAATCAAAAACAAATATCTACACCTTTATTAATCTTTATAAAACCTTAAAATCTGAAACATAAAAAAAAAGCCAGTCATCTTTCTATTCATATCTATATTCTTTCCTGTATAACACCCACTTAATTCATAATTAAATATTACAGTATGTGCTTCTACATTACCACCCTTCTTTGAGAGGTGCCTTCAGATATCTCATAATAAACTGAAACACATTTCAAAACAAATTTATGTCACTAAAATGTCCATTTGTAGTGGCTGAAAGATTATGAAACATTTCAACAACACTACATCATTATTTGGAAGTTTAATTAAACTATTTAGTCCTTATCAAGAACAAATGAAGTCTGCCTCAGAGAACCTGTAAGTAGGTCATCTTAGAGCGCATTGAAAATAGAAAATGAAGACACCCACCTTCTGGAATCTTGAAACCCACACTCCAATCACAAGGAGATGTAGAGCTTTCCAAGGAGGCAGAAACTTTGTCTAAAATTTCAAGATAATCCACCTGACTGTCAGAAATTTATATGCTAAGTAGCACATGACAGAAAATTAGGCTACACTCATCATTAATATAGAAATCCTCAAATCAATGCCCAGAAGGGCAACAGATAACATTTTAACTTTGCCACCTGAAAAACCTGACACTATCTCCAAGTCTAAGGAACTAAAACAAAGCATCAATTAGGGAAAATGTAAAAAGTTACTCCATCCCCGACAAAGAAAGATGGATTGGTTTTTAGCCTACTGATAAATGGCCCATAGTAGGGATGCAGCCAACCGCCCTATTTACCAAAATCTTAACTGGCCCTGAAACTTATTCTGCAAAAGTAAATGATTTTAACAATTGTTTACCAATTTAATGTGAGGTCTTCCTAGGACTTTTTATAAATTGAATCCCATCCACATCTGAAGGCAACCCCAGCAAGGTCAAAAGATAACTTGGCTACAACAGCATACTAAACATTCAAAAATACAGTCCTTTGCATAAAAAAAAAAAAACCGATAAACTTAAAAGATTCAAGAAACCAATATACTTCTCTATAACAAAGTCCAGTTTCAAAGAACACATAATAGCTTAACTAAAGAAAAGTTATCAAAATAAACACTAATAGTCAAATCCTGTTACAACTTAAAAGGGACTTTCCAAAGTCTTTAGTGGCAGTGGAATTTTGTACTGAACATCATGAAGTAAATGGTCCACTGGGCTGGGCCTTTGGACTTTTTGGTTATATGGCCTCTGCTGTAAAGGTGTTTTGCTATAACTGGATTTGACCTCTTCCATGTAAGAAGATCTAAATTTTAAATGCAAAGCATTCTGGAAAATAAGAAAAAAATAGAAAAGTCATTCATTCCAAAATTTATAGAAAACCCACACCACAGTAGCCAATATATTTTAACCGATGCCATTTGATGTGATCAAATTTTTTTTGGCTAATTCCCTAAAAAGTTTAACTGAATGCTGGTTTAGCATTTGTAAAACTGGTTATACTAACAAATAATATTCCCTTGAAGGCAAGCCCACATATTTCAAGTTTTGAGGTCTTGCCAAACTCATGGTTATAGCTTTTCAACAGTTGGCTAACTAGCAACCAATGTATTATACTTAGTTTCTTTTACTAGGATACAATCCAGCATATGTATTGAGAATCAGATTAGTATTAAGATAAAAAACACATATTTACTCCAATTATAGCCCACTCTCAATTTCTCAGAATATGCTACTATAAACTATATGCCAACAATTTAAAGACAATGAAATTTAAAAAAATTAAAACTGCAACATGGCACCTTCAGTTAAAACTTACTTTATACTGAAGACTACAAACATAGGTATACAACATTTTCAGTTGTTTTATAAGTCCTCTATCCTAAGTACAAGTTTTTTCCTAGATAATTTGAAAGATAATTTCCCTTCAGAAAAATTAGTGCAAAGTCTTGCCTGAGCAGGGGAGGTATTTTATGAACTACAATTAGTCTGATAAGATATATTTTCTACATCTTAAATCTTTTAAAAGACTAAAATATAGAAATTTAGTTGGGAGTGCTTAAAAAGAAGCCTATGAACAATTCTATGCAGTCCCTAAGGCTCTTTAAATTTATAGTTGTCACTCATCTAATAGCTTATTACTCAATTTCCTTGTACAATCAGGAAAGCTTAGCAGATTGCATTTAGATGCAGAATGGAAACAAGTATAAAACTGAAGATGTGAGTGGCAAGAAGTAACATTCAAAAATGGCACAACACAAAGCCTGAGCCCAAAGGTATACGTTTCCTTTTAACTAAAGAATTGCCATTAGATAATATGAAACTGTTACTTTATAAAAAGGTCTAAAACCAGATGACATAAATCCTGAAACAACTGGTTGATGGCCTCTGACCACAACTCAAGAAGAAAGCAAAGCTGATCCCAATGTCCACTTGTGACTAAGAAAATAACTGTAAGACTCCCACCCAAGCTTGTGCTAGAATAAAAGACATTTCCAAAAAATTCCTTCGTTTTTATTATTTGTGTTTATTATTAAGTTTTATGGAAAATTTTAAAATATTTATTCAACTATCCCTGAATAATCCAACACAATTTTCTTATCCATTGTACCAAATTTTATAAACCTACCTAACACAGTTGTGTGGATGCATGAAGCAGTTTATTTTTAAGCATTTGGAGCTCTAACCAAAAAGAACCACCAAGTTGCTATTTTAACATCATTTTTCATTATGGAGTCATGAACATGACAAAATGTTTTAATATGACATTACAAACACACACTAATAACACAATTTACTACTTATACCATGATCACATGAAATAATCATTATCTTAGAATAGAAAGGAAACTTTCAATAATTTGATCCAACCATATAAAGTTAACCTGGCTTAAAATGTGTAATATCTGTTATATATTGTATTCTGTATTATAGTGAAGATTTCATATTTTGGGTTACTCAACTAATCCAAATAAATTGCACAAGCATTTATAATTTTTTTAACTTTCCTCAAAAGTAGTTTAAAAGGCCTTAAGACAATGAAAGCCACGTAACAATGTTCTGAAACATTGCTACAAAAAGGCCTTTAATCAGTAAGGAGCAAAAATGACTCAACTCTGGCTCCTTTAGAGCACACTGCTTTCACTGGCTCACTTGTATCTCTTCTAACTTTTCTTATCCCTTTTAATTTTAAGTTCAACATATTTCATAGTTTTATTAATAAATAACACCTTCAAATATTTGAGCCAAAGTTGAAAACATAAGACAAGCTCGAATACAGGAACTCTTAGCAAGACTGTCATGGATGCACTTGGAGGAAATGTCTCCAAAAAGTCCCAAACCAAGTCCTAACATCTAGGGAAAGAGCTCTTAACGTTTTATCCTCAAAGAACTTCTTGTTGCAAAAGGTAAAGAACTACTCTTCTAAAAGAGGCAAAACAAAAAAGTTTCAGAAGAACCAGATAGTTTGATGCTTTAGGCACAGAAGCAGAACATAAATTTCAGACACAGAAAGTTCATTTCCCCACCCACCCATGGCCCATTATTAAAAACTTACTTTTTGCTACGTTCTTCATGGCCGTTAGCACTGCTCAACTTGTTCTCATCCTAAGCAGGGTTGATAGAAGAACATCATGAGGACGAAGTGGAAACATTTCAAGTTGTCAAAGGGTAAAGGGAATAGGAATAAGAAAATACAAAACAATTTTAAAACTAGTTACTTATTTATAATTTGACATGGAAGGCTATAAAAAAATTTAGATGGGTATGTGTTTAACCACTTTGTGGCTTACAGTTAAATCATCAAAATACAAATTTAAAAAGTTCTTCATATTAACATGTTTAATTTTATTTTCTTATATATTTTAGGTATTAAGTTATCCAGATTTACATTGTTGAAGTGGTTAAAATAAAATTTCTATAAAACATGAATGAAGTCCTGTTTGAGTTTTATTCCATGTGCTATGGTCCCTTTGGTCAGTACCATGGTTCTATTTCTGCCTAAGCCCCATGTGGCCATGCTAGCAGCCAGCCACTATCGATTTCCTGTGACGGATGCCATTCCTGAGATCTTCGCCCATTTCCGTTGGAGGGTTGGGACTGTAAGAGCTTGATGCCACCTCTGTCACACATCTCGCCCTGAAGCAAACAGGGATTCACACTGCTTTAGTAATGTTGACTCCCAAGAACCCAAGAAAGTTAATTAATAATCCACCAGTCCAGCCTAAACATTTCCTATTTCCATACCTGTTTACACGGAATTACATCCATGATAAACTAAGAAACAAGAATCTTAACATTAAAATAGAATAGCTCTTCAAGAGTCTAAGGCATTACAAAAACTATGTAAACTAAAGCTACCAAGAATTCATCCAAATTGGTACACCACATGGTCGTGCTATACACTCCAAAACAAATGTATTATTTTTAAAAAGGTTTAGTACAATGTTTATTTTTAAAGTTTAATTACATCAGCAACAAGAGTATATATATATATATAACTAACTACAAAGCTTATAGTTTGTGAAACCAGTGATAATGCATGCATACTGCTATTTTCACCACCAAATGGTGAAAGAATGAAGAGTTTAGTTTTATTGCTAAACTGACATGGGTCAAAGACTAAAAATTCGCCAATATAATTCCTTTGTAGATTTTAGTGTGAAATATTATGGCAGGACGTAATAAAAAAAATAAAATATAGAGAACAGTAAAACAGTCATTAAGTGACTCTACACTGTGATACTGCCTCTTCTGATTGTTTTTTTTTTGCAAAAAAATTGAATTCAGGGATCCAAGAATTTAAGTAATTTTTAACTCAGCAGATTGCCACCTGCCTGTTTTTAAGAGTTACTATCACCAGTCTTACATTAAAAAAAAAAAAAAAAAGTTCAAATCTCACCCATTTCTTCTGTTAAGAGTTATCGTATTTAAATATTTACTCGCAGCAGACTGGTTATGCTTTGTTATTCTTGGACCCCTGCTATTTTCCCAAACCACTACATTCACCTTTTTGCTATACCAAACTGGAGCTGGTAATTCTTAGTTGTGTCATTTTACCTAGGGGACCACGGTACAGCGATAAGTCACTCAATTACTACCTTATGATTGACAGTTCACACTGGAATCAAAGGTGAATTCATGGGAGTAGAGGTGAGATATCGTTAGGCAAGTCTACAAAGAGAGATAGATGGGCATTTATTCATCACGCTGAAGTGAAACTACTGCACAATATTATTACATCAATAGCATATATTTACTTTTGTAAGTTATACGTAATGCATCTCTGATAAGGTAAATCAAGAGGGCTCCGGGGAGGTTAGTTTACATTTCAGCAGTAGTTTCGTGAATATGCTAAATTAAGAAAATATATAAACTTCACCGACATATTTTTTCTCACCTTCTTGTAAGGAGCCTCAAGCATTGCTTCAATATCAATATCGTCTGCCATTTTCTCCAAACGCCTAGGAAAAGAATAAGACATTTTGTGAGTAAATGCGACTCCGTTCTGCTCCGTTTTCCCTTAGCCAACATCCTCCAAAACTCCAGAAAAACCTTGAAGCGACATAGACAAAAGTGACAAGGTGCACTGGGCAGCTTTGGCATATGTAAGTACGTTTAAGACGTCTTACACCGGAGGAACAAAATGAAGACTTCAGCGTTCTAGTAAAAATGCTTACAGTCAACTCCAAAAAACACACACACACACACAAAAAAGCCCGGAGCCTCGAGCGAAAACACTTGACACGGCACCTCTCCGCCCAAAAACCGCGCTGCCATATTAGGGGCAAAGGGAAACTCCCTCGGTTGGGAGGAGTTGTGTGCCAAGGAGGCGTTCGGCTGGCGCCATGTTGGGAGGTCGCGGCAAGCCCGGGTCCCGAAAGAGCAGAACGCCATCTGCCCGATGACCCCTCTCTAGGTTCCATACCACGCTAAAAATCCCGCTTTGACACAAGCGGAAAAGACGGGCGCGGTCGCTGAAATGGGACCGACTTCTCGAAACCATCCCCCTTTGCCCTCCGTCACTAAAGAGTCTGAAGAACGTCCCTTCAGTCCAGAAAATAATCAAACGCTGCTAATGCGGGTCCCCGATGTCCTCTTACCTGTGCGGGCTTTCGGGCGCCTGTGAGGCTTGTATTCAGGAAGGATTGTCTTCTGCTTGTAGCTACTGCTGTCGCGGCCGCCGCTGCTGTAGCTACTGTTAAGCCGCTAGGCCCAGGCCGCGGTTCCGCCCAGCCCGAATTTCGGGCTCCGAGGGCGGCTAAGCCCGAGCGGATCTAAAAAAAAAAAATGGAATTAATTGCGCCCGCGCGGGACAGCAGATCAGCGGCTTTGGCAGCTCAGGATCCTCTCCTGCGACAGCGTCGGCAAGCTCCCTGAAATGGCGGCCGCTGCTTCCTCGTACTCACGTTCACCAATACACATACACACACAAACACACGGGGACGCTCAGAGAACTCAGCACGGGCTCTCGCGAGATTCTTACCGAGTACCAGTCCAGAGCCTCTGAAATATCGCGAGATCTAACTATGCCACCGCGGACCACCCTCCCAGCGACTATGTCCCAATCTCGCGCAATAATTGCGCCACAGACGCTCCCATCCCCCCACACAGAAAAGCGGCCTTTGACTCTCACTCCAGACAGACGTTCAAATCTCGCGATGTATTTAAATCGATAGGGAAAAGGCAGTTGGTGCTCTTCCTGCCAATCTCTTAGGAAAGTTCTCGCTGAGTGGATCTTGGTGGTCTCCGCCCCTTGTGAGGTTTCCATCTCAAAGTCGATCTCCCCATTCTCTTAGCCTTTCGCCAGGTGGTTGTCAAGGTCGCCTTGAGGCTATTAAATCCTCTGACTATAGGATAAAACGACCCTATCAGATTATCCACTTTAGGTGAGCACGAAAGGAAAAGCATATAACAGAGATGGCAAGAAAAGGCAGGACGGGAAGCGGATGAATGGTGTGGAATAAAATTTAGTTTTCCTTGCCTTTTGGAGACTGTAGGCTTGGTGCGGCCTCAACTATTGAGACTCAAAAAAAAGCCTTGGAAGTATGGAGAAAAAGGCGTTATGTCCTGTCGAGTCTGTTCCAAACCATAGCGACCCTGTATAGCGTTTCCAAGGAGCGGCTAGTTAGCTTGAACCGCCGACCTTGCAGTTCAAACCTACTTTGTAGTTCAGCACATTAGCCCACATTGTTGTTAAGTGCCATCGAGTTGATTCCGACCCATACTGACCTACTCAAGGAGTGGCTGTTGTGCTTGAACCTCGTACTTTGCAGTTCAAATCGTCCTTGCATTCCAGGACATTAACCCGCAGCACCACACCAGGACTTCCCAACACCTAGAGACGGTTTAAAATACATTTGGCTCCTTTTGACAATGGATTAGCTTTGTATGTCATTTCCCCCGACCCCCCCCCCCCCCCGACCCCTTTCGAAATAGTAGTCTGGTCTTGATTTATGTCAGGGTTGCTGTTATTTCCAGAAAAATACTCCTTTCTCTCCTAGACTGACTCCCTGATGCCTATAGCATAGAAACTCCCCACTTGTTCTTTGGTCACTATGAAAGAGGAAAAAAAAGATATCATGGGCAATAAAGTTTTTCCTAACAAGTAAAAATGTAAAATAAAATTTTAAAAAGTTGTCTAGAAAGCAAAAAATATATAGAAGTCTGTTAACACTTAAAACTTAATAAATCAAGGACAAAAATTTCTCAGTAGCACTTAACACTATTCCCTAAATTAAAACATTCTTTAAGAGAAAGGTTTTATTATCTCAAATTTGAGGTTGACATACAGGACAATTCAGACACATTCTCAGAGGATCAGGCTTAATTATTGGCCAGAGTTTTTGAACTGGGCCCAACCGAGTTGTCTTGCTGCTAAACTAGCAAGTTTCCTTGAGCCACTGTTGGGCACATTGGGCCTTTTTAAAAAAAAAAAAAATCACTAAGGATGTTAATTCTATTGACCTTGAGCTTAACTCAATGGGAAATTTGTAAAATCTTAAATTTAAAAATGCACTTACTAATGTAATTTTAATATTAATTTTTATGTATATAACCAAAAATTTTTTTCATAAAAATCAGACATGGACATAAAGCCCATTTCATACAGATGGAATTATTTTTGCCCCCATATTACCTAGTTTAAGGAGCTCTGGGATCGTAGTGGTTATGAATGGGTCTGCTAACCTCAAGGTCAGCAGTTCAAAACTACCAGCTGTTCCATGGGAGAAAGATGAGGCTTTCTGTTCCTGTAAAGATGTACAGCCTCGGAAACCCTGTATAGAATCTCTATGAGTCAGAACCAACAACAACTTTATTTAGTTTCAAATTTTAAGCCCTTATCTAATTTTTGTGATTTTTTTTTTTAACTTTTTCTTGATTTGGGTAGATGAAATTCTAATTTCCTCGCCTTGGGTCCATCTAATCCAACATAAATCCATTCCATTTGGCTGACTGAATTTTCTAAATTGTTGCAAATACTTATCTGTATACTGGTTACAATCTCAAGAGCATTTTAGTACCATAGGACTTTGGTCATTTTGTGAAGAAACCGGAACTACATAGTTTCCAGCGACCACTACCAACTACTCTAAAAGGAGTCAGAGTAGAAGGTCCTGAATAGAGTGGGAGAAAATGTGAAACAAAACTTGAAATCATAAAAAAAGACTTCCTAGCCAGGTAGAGTCTAGTGTGGCACTATAGGATAAGCACTTGACTGCAAGGTCAGTTGGAACCACAAGGTCAGAGGTTCAAACTCATCAACTACTCCTCAGAAATCCTTTAGAGGGCTGCTGTAAGCCAGAACTGACTCAAAGGCACTCAACAACAATAGCCAGATAGAGACTGTCTAGTAGAACCCTGAGACAATGGCACTTGGTCACCCTCCCAACTCTGGAACTAAACTTATCCTGAGGCTCAATTTTCAGCAGAGCAAGTCTTTTGAACCTAAGGTCCCTACACTGTGAAGCTCCTAGATCCATAGGAAGATTGATACCAAGAGACATGGAGATCTCCGGGGAATGCTGAAAGGAAACAAGGGCATTTCCCCAGAGCTGTCAAAGAGAGAAAGCCTTCCCTTAGAGCTGGCACTCTGACTTCGGGCTTCTAGAGTCCTAAATTGTAAAGTCACAAATCTTAAATGCATCAATAGATGAGTTTTTATAAAAAGTGCATACAAGTTAGGCAGAGGGCCATAGAAATATCCTGACTTGACAACCAGAGAACTAGACAGACACTTTGCAAATTAGCAGAGTGTTGTTTAAAAACAAAAAACTACTAACCAAAGCAAAAAGAAATGCAAATGAGCATAACATTGCAAAAGAATTGGAATTTAAGCAAATCTAGCAACAGAAGAAGATCCTTCTGACAAGGCATCACAAGATACACCTTGAAAATGATCAGTGGCAAACAAAAGAAGCATCCACCCACAGTAGTTTTCAATGAAAAGCAGGTGATTCCATGATATGAGTGAATGACTCTGTATAACGAATAGCCCAGAAAGACCTAGCATTTCTGAATAGATTTAACTAATTCTTTTTTAGAACTAGAAAATTATAAACATCTCTGAATAACCGGACTCTGTATAGGAACCCTATGGAGTCCTGGTGTGGTGCTGTGGGTTAATGTGCCAGACTGCAAAGCCATTTGAATTGCAAGGTCAGCAGTTCAAGCTCACCAGCTGCTCCTCGCAAACCCTATACAGGGTCGCTATGGGTCGTAATCGACTTGATGACACTTAACAATAACAACAAATATAGGAACCCTGGTATGGTGCTATGGATTAATGTGCTGGACTGCAAGGTAGGTTTGAACCGCAAGGTCAGTGGTTCAAGTTTACCAGCCGCTCCTCGGAAACCCTACACAGGGTCACTGTGGGTCACAAATGAGTCAACCATACTTAACAACAACAACCTCAATATATGGAGTCCTGGTGTGCGCTGGACTACAAGGTTAGTTTGAACTTCAAGGTCAGTAGTTTAAATTCACCAACTGCTCTTCAGGGTCACTATGGGTCGAGACAGACACCATGGCACTTGACATCAACAACCTCAATATATGGAGTCCCATTAACAACCTGCAATATACAGATAATACAACCTTGCTTGCTGAAAGTGAAGAGGACTTAAAACATTTACTGATATAGATCCAAGAACACAGCCTTCGGTATGGATTACATCTCAATGTAAAGAAAACAAAAATCCTCACCACTGGATCAATAAACAACATTCTTATCAAAGGAGAAAAGATTGAAGTTGTCAAGGACTTCATTCTTCTAGGATCAACTATCAACACTCCTGGAAGCAGCAGTCAAGAGATCAAACTACATATTGCAT